ATGATTTTCTCTGCGTTTTCACTACGGGTTCCATACCTTAAGCCCTAAAACATAATCTAATCATAGATAATCATCACTTACAATTATCCTATAATTCTACATCAATTAAACAACATCGGGACATCATTATTCATCCAAAATTCAGCGATTTTTCATCATACAACCTCATACACATTCAATTCATGAACAAGACAACAATCACCTCTAATCCCACATACCAATTATCATAAACCCTATTATAGAGTCAAAACCCCACCCTTACCTTAGATTGAAGGTCGCTCTATAACTTCCTGTTGAATTCTCGTTCTGTCGTTTTTCCTCTATTCCAACAACTTCACGTTCTTCCTTTCAAACCCTTATTCTTCTTACTGCTTCTTCTTTCTTGTTATTTCTAACAATAATAAAATAATCTATTATTCTCTTTATTCCTTAATGGGCTTAAAACTAATACACCCCCTTATTGCTTCTATTCCTTTAAAACAAGCCCACAACAAAATAATATCATCCTTCTCATAATATTATTTCACCACTTAATAAAATAAATAATTCCAACTAATCACAACACAACTTCACAAATATTCCAAAAAAAAATTAATTAAATAATTAATTAAATTACGGGCGTTACACAACTCCGAATACGATACCCTCTTGCGAGGTGAGTTTTATGACTTTTGAACTCCTCATATAGATATTGTTAAGCTTTCATTTTCAAAGATAAAATGTAGACCTCATTGCCACAAAGCTGTACATATCCATAGTTTGCATTTATATGGCCTGAGCTTAGAGAATTTTGAAGTTGAAGTTTTCTGAAATTTTTTGGTTTTAAATTAGGGCCAGAAAAATTCTCACTCATCTTAGATTTATAGCTTTAGTTATTTATATGGTTGGATTCGTGGGAAAAAACGTCACAACTTTCATGTTTGTACTTTCCATTTTTGTTGAGAGATGAACAAGTTGCATGTTGTCTGGCTGGGCGTGAGGTTGAAGATGAAGTTCAGGCCATGAACTTGATTTGTAATATATATTTATGATTTGATATAAGTAAACAGATGTATAGCCACCCCAGTGGTACGACAGCATGCTGGTAACCAAGAGGGCGTGGGTTCAACACCCAGCATGCTACCTTTTTTTCATTTCTCACGTTTTCTCTTTTTATTATCACACAACACGTCTGGGCCTCCACATTGGGCCTTTTTTCTTTTTGCTGGCTTCTAACTCCCTGCCTTACTTCAGCACCCCCTGGTCCAATTTTCATTATTATTTTCTTTTTCTTATTTTATTTTATTTCTCTTTCCTTTATTATTATTATTATTATTATTATTATTATTATTATTATTATTATTATTATTATTAATATTATTTTTATTGTTATTAATAAAAATCCAAAAATATTTCATTTATTATTTTTACACTTATTTAGTATATTTGTTTTATAAAACTAAAAGAACAAAAACATTTTCTTAATAAATTAATTTATTTCTTAATAATTAATATTTAGGTTTAGGTTTAACTATTATATTATTTTCTTGTAATTAAAATTAATTTAGAACTTAGGTTTCTTTTAATTAATTAATATTCATATTATTTTTATTAATTTAAAACCTTTTCATAAATAAAACCCTAAAAAATCCTCTTTTAGTTAATTTCTTTTCTTATTTAGTTTAAGTTAATTTTATTTAATTTTTATTAATCATTTTTCTTAATTAGGTTTAGGTTAAAGCCTTTTCATGAAAACCAAACAAATAAACCATATTTCTTTTTCATTTGCATTTGTACACTTTTATTCAATTCTTGTGCATTTATTCAATATGGTTGTAATAGTTAATTAGATTTAATTTTCTTTTCAATCCCCATTTGTAAATTTGTACACCCCCTCCCCTATTGATGTAATAGCTTGGTATTTTTATTTTCCGCAATTTAATGCTTTATATATAAATGCTAGTAAATTAGGGTTTGTATGGAAAGATAAAATCAATGCTTAGAAAACCCTAATTTAAAGACAAAACAATGTATATAAATCAATACACTTGCACACTTACACCCTTAGGGTAAATCCACTTTGTTGCCTTATGAAAATAGTCATATTATGCATGTGGGGTATCTTAGTAAAAGCAATAAAAAAAATACAAGATCATAGTCCCTCGATGACGCTATCAATGTTGCCTTTCAAAAATTATCTTAGTCCCTCAAAGAAAATGCTAAGATATCTTACAACATTGTTATTCATGAATATACGATGACCCTTGCCCGTCCCTTTTACATCCAAATATAGGATTTTTTACCAAATCAATGGTAAGATAACAATATAAAGGAAAGAGGAAATAAACAAGAAAGACTTTTGAGTAGGTAGAATGTTCCTAGTTGTAAAACAAACATCCTTGTTATTTTCAAAACAAACACCAACACTTTCAAAAACATCTTTCAAACTTGAAACATTTTCAAAAGATCAACACTTTGTATACATTCTTATGAACAAGAATTATTACAAAGTTTGCCTAAACGATGGCGCCTTTTCAAAATACTTTCAAAAACCACACAAAGCACATTTTCAGACAAAAGCAAGTGATCTAGCAAGCAGCTAAGAGCCCGTAGATAACTACCGATGAAAAGGGTGCTAATACCTTCCCTTTTCATAATCTACCCCTCGAACTCAAGAAAACATCTCAAAGGTCTTTCCTATTCTTTTCAACCTTTCCTTTTGGATAAAAGAAAAGTCGGTGGCAACTCTTGCTAACCGCAACATTTGCAATCAAACGCAAAACAACAAAGTCAGTTCTTCCACCACTACACATATCTTCATACGAACAAGCAAACACTTCAACGTAGTCAAGTAGTATTTGTACCAACCTGCTCTTGATATTGTCTTCTAAGTTGGCGCCGATCTTGACCTCTTTCTTGTATGTCTTAGTACCTAGGTTGATAACTTCGACTGGCTATTCATGAAGTTGAATAGATTTCTCCTCTTACATTAGAAGTATGGCTAGTTCCCCTGGTATTTCATAATCTTCCTCGCCTTCGTCTTTGGTTTGGTTGATTGGATGCTCAAAGTTATAGACGATAATAGTAGAGTCGTTGGCAATGAGATCCGGAGTGGATGAAGATCTGCAAGTGTGTGTGTGTGTGTGTGTGTGTGTGTGCATGTAAGATGCATGGCTATTTTTAAAATGCAAATAAGAAAAAGAAAGATAATGAGCACAAATTTTGAATGGAAAAGGTCCAATATTTTTTCATTAAATGATCATATGGCATATGGAAATGAACAAACCCTTACCCAATTGACCATGGTGCCCCGGAAAAGGCACATGGTTTAGATTCATTGTTTGGAAATAAAATTATAGACAAAAGTTCTTGAATTGACAAAATAGTAAATTGTAATTACTCCTCGCTGAAGGAGATGGGAATGAAATCCTTTGCATGCCAGTTATTGAGCTCTTCTCCTGCAGTAGGGTAGATCAATTCTTTAAAAGCACATTCATCGTCAGAGTCTTCCACAATGTTTACTTCATGATTTCCAATGTGAAGAGGTGGCTTTCCTCCGCGAGCGCGCCTGACCTCTTTCTGAGCTTTGAGAGTGAAACCCAACCCAAATTTGTCTGCTTTAAACGGAATTTCGGGGAGTTGTCCCCGGATAGTACACCTTCCATCTTCGACCACGGAACGAGCTTCTTTAAGTGAAACCATTCTTGGTATAACCTCATCTGCTTTTGATATGTCAGAGATGATTTTGGTGGCAGCAATGTGTTGTATTGGGAGTTGGCTGATTGGAAAATGTCCATTATAGTTCTGAACTGTGGGCATGAAGACCCAGGGACATGTAGAGCTTGGAAGAGCTTGGAAGAGCTTATGGGGAATTGGTTGCAGCACTTTCAGACATGGCATGATCTTGTACGGTACGAGCATGATTGAGGTTGGAATCTAATTCAAAAGTTGGTGAGGATATGTAATGCAAAGTTGGAATTTGGGTCATGTATAACATCAATTTAGGTTTTTGCTTATAAATGCTTTTGTACATGTAATAATGACGGTTTTGTAATGGTAAAAATGGACTATACTTTGAACATGATGATGATATTGTACGGTCTTGGAAATTCTCCTTGTAAAGAAATGGATTTGTGACTTGTAATTGCAGACATGAATGAACAAGACTTCTTTCAATTTGAGCTCTAAAATTCCAAGTGTTTCCTCTGATCTTATATTTTAAATTAAGGTGATGGATGAAATTTGGTGAATCGATATGGACCTTGAAACTTGAATGAGGTATCCTTGTAACTTGAATACTAACTTGAACTAAATCTCGAGTAAGTCTAGTAACCTCGTCACTTATTTCCAAAGAAATGAACCATGAACGACTCTTCTGATCTTGTATGCCTAAAGATGGATCTTAATTGAGTCCATAAATACAAATCCAATTGTAAGTAAGTAACTAATTCCAATTTTGACAAATGAATGACAAATATCCTCATTCCATATCTCAATCAATCAAGAAACATCTCAAAGTAAATCCTTAACCAAGATAACTCACATAGGAAAAAGCATTGTCCACAAAGGAACCACGACTTCACATCATATGCCATGCTTCAAAGTTTTAACAGTTTGATCCACAAAACATCTCAACTTGAAAGCCAATGACCCCAACACGAGGCTAATGACCTTGATGGAAACCTTGAAGAAGATAAGACTTGAAGCAATAGAAGTGATGATGATCATATAACCTTTACCAATCTTCCACTGAAATACTGTGAAAACCCTAGCTTGCACCACTACTGATATTTTAAACCTCAGGTGCCTTTTTTGAATGAAATGCATGTTATGTTAGTACAAATGACCTAATGAAAATATGTGAATGCAATTCTAAGCCTAAGCCAGATAAAATTAAAATTAGGAGGGCAAATTTTAGGGTGCAACACTGCTGTCTAAAAACATTTTGAAAGACCAGCATTCAACTGGAGGCACTTTTCCTTCTCCTTCAGAGTCTTGTTCATCCTCTATGCAACACCATTTTATTGTGGTGTCTTCCTCACAGAAAAGTTCCTATGTATTCCATTCTCCTCACAGAAATGCATCAACTTCTTGTCAATGTATTCAGTTCCAATATCAGACCGCAAATACTTTATTTTTCTCCCTGTCTGGTTCTCAACCTCTGCCTTCCACAATTTGAATTTGGCAAAGACCTCATATTTATATATCATAAAACTCGGATCTTATGCGAAAAATCATCATTGAATGTTACAAGGTACCTATAAACTCCAACGGAGGGCTCTTTTGTAAGCTCTCAAACATCATAATGGACATAGTCTAAGAATTCCTCGGTCTTATGTTTCCCAGTTTTAAAACAAACTCTACACTATTACCCAAGAACACGATACTTGCACAATCCAATTGTGCAACTCCGAACACCCTTCAACAAATTCCATTTATGTAATTCCATGGTCCCACGTTCACTGATATGACCCAAGCACACGTGCCACGGTTTGGTTGCATCATTATCAGTTTAAGCAGATGCTACATCACCCATAATTTTGCCCCTAACAACTTATAAATGTTTCCTTCAATCCTCCTTGTTGTCATCACTATCATTGCACCCTTTCTAACCCTCATGATGTCTTTATCTCCATCTTACATGAATAAATAACCATTCACTTGAAGAGTACCCAGAGAAATCAAATTCTTCTTAATTTTGGAATATAATGTGCCTCACTCAACGTGTGCACGCTACCATCATCCAAAGCAATTTTAATTTTCCCCTTTCTAGTGATGGTACAAGTTTTATCATCACCTAAATAGATAAAACCAAAATCACCTGATTTAAAAGAGTTAAACCATTCTCAATGCAACATCATATGAGCACCCATAATTAAGGATTCATGGATTAGTGCACTTTGCAGATGATACGCAAAGCAAATCTTCTTCATTGCAAGAATCATCAGACTAAGCTACATTTGCTAAACTATTGTTGTCTGACTTGTCTAGACAGTCCCTCTTCGAATGGCCAATTTTCCTGAAACCATAACACTATGGTATTTTTCTATCCTTGGACTTGAACCTCTTTTTCCTTCTAGAATCCACTGCCTTACCCTTGCCTCTACCTCAGTCCTGACCCCCCCCCCCCCCCCCCCTTCACAAAAAAACCTTCACCTGAACTTCCTCCACATTCCTCTACACTTTCGCGATGTTATGTGTGTTGCAAAAGAGTAGAAGAAATAGAATCCAGTGTAATTGTTTCCTTCCCATGTATGAGAGTAGTCACCAAATGATCATAAGAGCTTGGTAAAGAGAACAAAAATAAAATGGATTTATCCTCATCGTCAACCTTCACACTATTCCACGCCAAATAAGAGAGGATGTTGTTGAAAATGTTGACATAATTCTAAAAATCGCCTCCTTCTTATATCTCCAGACTATATAGGCGCTACTTCGCAAATAATTAGTTCATGAGCGTCTTTGACATGTACTGATTTTCCAATTGATTCCAGACATCCTTCAAAGTTGTAAGGTCTAGGATATGATTCATTACATCATCAGAAACACAAAGTCTTATCAAAGTTGTGGCATTTTCCTTCATCTTATTCCAATCAACGGTTGCGATGTCCATTAGTTTCTAATCACAAAGCTCCTTCTATAAAGCTTGGTAAGCCAACAAATCCTTAACCCTCATTTGCCATAAATTGAAGTTGCATGTTCTGCCGAACTAAATCACTTCAAATTTCGCACCTCCAGGATTAAGCATCATCTGATACCAATTGTTAGACCAGAAACACGAATATATATCAGAGTAGAGAGAAACACATAAAAGTTTTGTTCATGTAGTTTAACCAAATTACCCACATCAGTGACTATAAAGTAGGTATAGTTCACTTTATTTATATCTTTTGAATTTGCATACTTTGATTACAATGTTGCAAGTCATATATATATAACAAAAAATTTAGTTTATCTAAAACCCTAATCCCTAATTTCCATCAACAAAAAATTATCTCTACCCCATAATTATCTCAATAATATGAGTTCTTCTCTCAACAACCTATAATTATCTCAACAACCCATAATTATCTCAACAACATGAGTTATACTCTCAATAACCCATACTCATCTCAACAATTCCTAATTATGTCAATAATATGAGTCATATTCAACAGTTACATTCAATCCAACTAGGAGAAAGAGGTTTCCAAAGAACATTAATGGATCTTCTGAATTTTGGAGGACGAATTAATAAAAAAGACTATAGCTACTATATAGTTGCGGGCGTAGGCAATTTAGCCGAGCTACGTGAACAAAATTTGTGTATTTCTCTCTATTCTAATCTGTTTTGCATTCTTGGTCCAACACAATTTTATATCGAAAAGGCCCATTGTGCAATGTAGGATTTGCGCATATGAGATACATTTTTCATGAAATCTTTAGGCTATTTTCCATATAACTTGTTTTGTGTTCTATTAGTAAACCAGAGATATATAATGAAATGGTGGTACAAAATCTTGGTGCGGTATAACAAGTTTCTAATGCAACAGAAAAAGAATAAATTTGTAATATTAACACTTTGACGTTCAAGTAAAAGAAATTAAAATAAATTATAATTATAACATATCTCAAATCTCTCGAAAAATACTTTATATACGAGAGATAATTAGAGATGCTCCATATTTCCTGGCGTAAAATGCGAGAACCGTTGGATAATATTCATCGATGAATTAAATATATGTGTTATGGACGAGTACGAGCCTCAGAGTTGTGGTTACACTATATGACTTTTTTACTTATGTCTGAAATGATGTCATGTTAGAAATTGTTGATCGAACTGTATAGTAGCCATAATTTTACAACACACATCCTACAAAACTCCAAATCTAGTACTACTAGATTAGTATTCACTCATAAAATAATAGTCATGAGTTACGATAGACTTTGTAAAATAAGGTTATGATAAACTGTCGGTGATAAAAATCATTATTAAAATAACAACTCGTACATTATTTATTATTTCTTTTTTAATCCGTTTTAACACAAACATTATTAAGCATATGAATCATAACGTATACTGTTAGCAATCGTCCTCTAAAGTTGCACATGGCAATGACGCTACCAACCGAAAACATAAACCACACCCTCTGATCAACAGTGATTATGAAAATAATTGAAAGATGCTGGTTGAGCTAAAGGCTGCTAAGACACCCTAAATGATCTACGTACTGTAAAAATTATTCACTACACGTGAAGAATTAGTGCAGTTTAATATAATTTAAAAATGTTGAATATAATTTTTACAATAAAATATGTTAGCTATATTTATTTGTAGTCTTTTTTTTTTTGAAATATTAAATTAGATTAAATTAGATTTGATTAGATTTAATATTTAATATAATTTAAGATGTGTTAGTCCAAATTCAATTAGAGTTGTATATAAATAGTCATAGTGTGTATGATTATTTGTACATTTGAATAATAAATTTTTTTATTTTCTTTATTATTCTCTCTTTCTCTCCTCATTAAAAATGTCTCACACACTAACAAATTGGTATCAGAGCTTCCGGTTACTGTTCTTGATCAAGTTTTCAAGAATTTCACGTAAGAGATTATTTTTCTAGGGCAAGTAAATCAACCGCTGCGAAGATGGCTAGTGATAAGGGCACTCCAAATTCTCTTTCAATGCTTGACGGTAAAAATTAGATCCGATGAAAAAAACAGATGCAATCCTTGTTTGGCTTCCATGAAACCCTAGAAGTGGTTACCGACGGCGTTCCTGCATTGGCTGCAAATGCAACCGACGAATAGAAAAAAGCCCACAACAAAGTCAAGAAGAAAGATTGCAAGGTTGTTTATTCCATTCAAACGGCTGTCGATGCTGCTAACTTCGACAAAATCTCTCATGCTGGAACGGTGAAGGAGACATGGGATATTCTGATAAAGTATTTTGAAGGAGGTGAAAAAGTCAAGGTTGTCAAATTACAAATCTTGCATCGACAATATGAGTTGTTGTCGATAGAAGAAGATGAAAAAGTTGTAGAATATGTGTCGAAGATTCAGAAACTCGTCTATCTCATGAAGAGTTGTGGTGAAACCATTACTGATAAGATGATAATTGAGAAGGTAATGAGAACGTTGACCTCTCACTTTGATCACTTTATCGTAGCTATTCAAGAATCCAACAATCTTGAAACCACTAAAGTAGAATATTTGGTTGGTTCGTTAGAGACGCATGAGATGAGGATTGTTGAAAGGAAAGGAGTTCAGGACTCGATACAGGAACTGCAAGCTCAATCATGGAAAAAGATGGTGGTTCCAACAAATTCAAAGGCAAGTATGACAAGACTCATGGCAAGAAGTCTTGGTCGAATCCCCATAAGAATAAGGTCGAAGATAGATCTTCTCAATCCTCGAAAAGAGGAGGAGGAAACTATCAAAAGGACAAAGAAGATAAGAAAGGTATGCAGTGTTATAACTGTGAGAAATGGGGACACTTGGCCAAGAATTGTTGGTACAGAAAAGAAAAGGGATCAAAAGGCAAGGACAAAAGAGCGAATCTTGCATGCCAAGATTCAGATGATTCTGAAGGTGGTGTGATGGTTATGGCTGCAGTTGCAGATAACCACGTTGAATCCAATATCTGATTTCTCAACTCAGGTTGCTCGAACCACATGACTGGTCGAAAGGAGTGGTTAATAGATTTTGACGAGTCGAAGAAGAGCAAGGTAAAACTTGCTGATAATAGTTTGTTGCAAGCAGAAGGTACTGGTAACATAGTCTTTGAAATGAGTAATGGAGGGAAAATTATGATCAAAGATGTGCTCTATGTACCTGGAATGAAATGAAACTTGCTAAGTGTTGAACAACTAGTCGAAAAAGGTTTCTCAGCTGTCATGAAAGATGGAGTTTTAAAATTGTTCGACACAAAGAACAATTTGGTCTTAAAATCTCCATTGTCGAAGAGTAGGACATTTAAGACTATGATCAATTCGACAGAAGTTCAGTGCTTGAAAACTGTTGTCGAACACAAGGATAGTTGGTTGTGGCACTTGAGGTTTGGACATTTGAATTTTCGATCACTTAATCAACTAATTACTCAAGATATGGTTACTGGTATTCCAAGCCTTGAGATGCCTGAAAAACTTTGTGAAGGTTGTTTAGTGGGAAAGCAATCCAGAAATTCTTTCGTTTCGACTATGTTAATGAGATCATCCTGCACTCTCGAAGTGGTGCATTCAGATGTATGTGGTCCATTCAAAGAACATACAATTGATGGAAACAGATATTTTGTTTCATTTGTCGATGAGTTTAGTCGAAAGCTGTGGATCTATGTGATCAAACGAAAGGACGAAGTATTCAAAATCTTTAAGAGATTCAAGATACTTGTTGAAAACCAGAGTGAGAAGAAGATCAAAATTCTGCGAACAGATGGAGGTGACGAATACACATCCAAGATGTTTGAAGATTTCTGTGCAGAACATGGTGTTGATAATGAGATAACTGCTCCTTACACACCTCAACATAATGGAATTGATGAAAGAAGAAATATAACCATATTAGATATGGAGAGATGCATGCTGAAGCAAAAGAATTTGCCAAAATCTTTATGGGGAGAAGCTATTTCAACTGTAATTTATATTTTGAATAGGTGTCCTACTAAGATATTGAAGAGCGAGGTTCTTGAAGAAGTGTGGAGTGGAAAACGACCATCAGTAAATCACTTGAAGGTGTTTGGCTATATGTGTTACAAGCATGTTCCTGATGCAAGGAGAAGGAAGCTTGATGACAAGAGTGAACCTATGATTCTGGTAAGATATCATAAAACTGGTGCATACAGACTATTTAATCCAGTTAATGAGAAGATTGTGCTGAGTCGAGATATTATGATTAATGAAAATTATGCCTGGGATTGGAATTCTAGCAATTCAATTAACAAATCATTAATGAAATTTGATTTCGATGAAGAAACTAATGAAGTAGAGGTCGAAGGAATTGTTAAGAATCCAGTCGAAGTCGAAGAAGAAGAGATTGCTGACACTCCCGCCACAGTCGAAGTCGGAGAGGTTGTGGCTAAAACAAGCCAAAGACCTCAAAGAAATAGAGTTTTTCCAACAAGACTTCATGATTACGAAGTGGTGGGTGATGATGGAATCACATTAGATGGGGAATTAGTTCATTTTGCTTTACTTGTAGGTGCTGAACCAATCAACTATAGCGAAGCTTTGAAGATTAACAAGTGGAAGTTAGCTATGGTCGAAGAGTTACAGGAAATCGAAAGAAACAACACATGGGAGTTAGTCGAATTGCCAGCTGTAACGCGGTGGGAGAACTGACTTGGTTGTTTTTCGTTTGATCGCCAATGTTGCAGTTTAGCAAGAGTCGCCACCGACTTTTCTTTTATCCAAAAGGAAAGGCTGAAAAGAACAAGAAAGACCTTTGAGATGTTTTCTTGAGTTTAGGGGGTAGATTATGAAAAGGGAAGGTATTAGCACCATTTTCATCCATGGTTTTCCATGGGCTCTTAGTTACTTGCTAGATCACTTGCTTTTGTTTGAAAATATGTTTTGTGTGGTTTTTTGAAAGTATTTTGTAAAGATGTCATCGTTTAGGCAAACTTTGTAATGATTC